CGTCCCGCAGGTCATTTGCGTCCAGACCCACATGACCCAGTCGAATGTGCGTAGCCTTGGGCCCAATTCTACGTTATCCATCCATCACGGCCTGCTCGTTCCATATCTCTAAGGTGAAAGCTAAGAGGAGGCAACAGTAGAAATCACTAGTTAAGGAGTATTCGTTGCGAAGACCATCACAACTTCCCCAGATTGCTACAAGTGGTGCGTTGCATGTGCGCCACTTGTCGCAATCTGAGAGTTTTTCCATTTTTTCCAAATCTCGATCCACTTTCGCTGTTGGATTTCTTGCGTCGAGATCTTCAAAACTAGATCCTATGTTGATAGATTTTGACGAACTTTTTTTCACGAAAAAACTGAACGAAAAAACCGATTCGGGAGCACGGGTTTTTTCCCTTTCCGAAAGAGGCACGCTCGTGCCTCTGATGAAATCATAACCGTGTCTCTCGCGGAAGCAAAAACGTGACCCTCATGAAAGGAAAAAAAAGGAGAAAACGCGTTTTTTCCGTTTCCGAGGAGGTACGGCCATGACTCTCGCAAAAGCACAACCGTGCCTCTCGCGGAAGCAAAACTGTGACTCGCGAAAAAAAACAGAAAACGTGTTTTTTTTTGTTCCTGATAAGGCACGGCCGTGACTCCCGTGAAAGCACAACCGTGCCTCTCGGGGAAGCAAAACCGTCACTCTCTCAAAAGAAAAAAAAAACAGAAAATACGTTTTTTTCGTTTCAGAGAGGCACAACTGTGACTCTCGCGAAAGAGAAAAAACAGAAAACGCGTTCTTTTTTCCGTTTCCGAGAGGCACGACCGTGACTCTCGCGAAAGCACAACCGTGCCTCTTGCGGAAGCAAAACCGTGTCTCTCGCGAAATAAAAAAACAGAAAACGCGTTTTTGCCTTTCCGAAAGAGGCACGCCCGTGCCTCGCGCGAAAGCACAACCGTGCCTTTCGCGAAAGAAAAAAAATGTTTTTTTCCCTTTCCGAAAGCAAAATCGTTGCGAGGCTCCCGAAGAAGCACTCATTAATTAGTTGCTCCCGGCAACAGTTGTGTTCAAAGTATTTGTTTTGAGCGTCCGTGAGTAGACAGTAGTGCAAGTGTGCAACACGTTCGTGTACATCATTAGTATTAGCATCTACACTTTGATTTTCAGAAGAAACCTTTGGTTCTTTAACAAAAAACATATCAAGACCACCTTTCAGAGATTCATCAAGTTTCTTTTTTTTCTTTTTTTGACGTTTTTCATATCCTGACGGGCACTTTCTAATTCTAGAGGACATTGCAGAAAGTAAACTAAGCGACAAATAAGGAACTAAAAACTGAACTTGCGGTCAAAAAGGAATGAAACAACCTGTCTTTGATTGATGTGAGAAGCAGATCAGGGGGAGCCGGTGAGGAGACGCTTGTTGCTTTGGCGACTAAGAACTCGTAGCCTCGTCTGGCCTGCCGAGCAGTCGAATCTCTCTGACGAGCAGGGCCTCCAGGGATCCAGGCTCCACTTGATTCTGACACACACGGGTCGCAGGACCGGCAAGGCGGCAACTGGAAACGGAGGAGGTCGAGTGAAACACTGATTTGCAGGCCCGATTTGAGAATTGAGAAGAACAGAACACCAACCAAATAAATAGATGGAGATGGGAAGTAGACGTTACCTATTCCACTGCTCATTGCAACGGATAATTTGGGGAAATCGCAATAAAATTAATAGCTAGGGGATTAAGAACGGAACGGCGGCTGCTAGTGAAGAACTGGAGATTGATTCACGATATGGGAAAGAGGAACGGCGGCGGCGTTGTGAAGAAGACGAAGAGAAAAAGAGAGACGTGCGTGAGGAAAGGCCCAGTAGTTAATTCGTGCAGTCCCACCACCTTCTCTTGGGAACGCAAGTTGAGGGTTAGACGAGTTAATTCATTGTGGGGCCCCGCTGGCATGCTGCATCATTATCCAACCTGTTTCGCACTAATTTTTGCTAATTACTAAAAATACTAGTACTAAGTATATACAAATCTGGGGCCCCACTGATTTGGGGGGCCTGTGCAGGCGCACACCCTGCACATGTCCACGGTACGGGCCTGCCCATCCTAGTGTATGATCTGATCTGTCTATCATTTCGTTTCATGTCTATCTATCCCAAAAAATAACCCTCACCTAAAAAATCTAAAAATATTTTTCCCAAAATCTTTTTTCTAGGAAAATGTGTTTAAAAATATATTTAATGACCAAATTACACAGGTAAATCAATCGATTTTCCTAACATAGCATGAAATAATTCATGTAAAGAGATAATTAAATGCAAAAATTTACAGGGCTATGTTCAAAACTAACATACACATTCAAAAGCAGCTCTATAATTGCATCAAAATATAGACGGGTGCGGTAACAAACACCTACCTGGTCTAGTCTCTCTATACTTATGGAGACAACATTATATGATCTGTTTCACTTGGTAATATTGGGGTGCATCCCCTAAAAAGGTAATATTGGGGTGACTTATACTAGGGTACATTTTACATATGTTTTCTTTATAAAGGACAATATATCAACATCAAGGCGATATCGGTTACAGCTGGTCACAGCAGCAACAAAACTGTTAAGAACAAGTCGAGACATCGAGAATGCATACAATCACATTATTAGAAAAAACAAAGGGCCTAGTCCGGAAATATCATGATGACGCTGTCAGGCCTTGTACAATCGGAGGTGCTTAGAGAGATGCTTAGAAAAATAAATCGGATTTTTCTGAAGCACCGGTGCCTATTTCTGCAAGGAAGACGCTTAGTTAAGCGTCTATCCTGTACAAATAAGCACCGATGCTTAAGAAAAGCCTGGGTTATTTCTCTAAGCACCTCCCATTGTACAAGGCCTCAACGACCAGGCATAGGCGATGGGACAACTACACCTTGCATGACCATTGACAACACATAGACTGTTATAAAAGGCGTGATGCCTCGAAAGGGAAGAACACGCAGGCACCGCCATCGCCGGATCTAACCTCAATGTGGTTGCTCCAAGACCCTCTAAGCTACTCCCTTTGTTCCAGTTTATAACAGATTCACACCTTTTATAAATTAACTTTGACGGTCAATTATTTATTTATCTTTGCGGTAAAACTTTTGACCATGAGTTAGACCAATATTATATATGTTACTGGATAATTGCTCGTACATTGCAAGGAAGGCATAAATATTCTAATAGGTTAGCCCATGATTTACCCGCTCATATTGTGTAAAAAAATAGTAATTTATTTGGTAACCCATTATTTTTGTAAGTTTTTATTGGCTTACTAAAAATGATTTTATTTGGTAAATCATTAGGACATGGGGCAGTTGATGTGGTTTTTAGGACAAACCGGTGAAAAAAGCAGTGATGGGAGAAAACATCATAACGGAGGGATGAAGGGGAGGGGGGCGTATTTAAAGTTTCTCGAAGGACAACCAAACGAGAAACCTCACATTTGTATTAAGTAGGAGAGACAAGGCATATGAATTATACTGACCCGAAATAATCATCTTTCTCTGTATACTTTTACGATTTTTCACGTGTCTTATTTAGTACTAACTTTTTCTCTTGTTAACTTTATTGATTTATTTTGCTCAAAATATATTTATTTATACTTCCTCTGTAAACAAATGTAATATGTTTTAGGAGGTCACCACTTTATAGTGCTCTAAAACGTGTTGTATTTGTTTACGGAGGGAGTACTTTTTATGTGTCATTTTCTCTTTAAAAAAACATTTACTGCACCGATCGCTCGTCTCGGGCCATATAGAATCGTGGTAATGACACCACTGTTTGGGCTTGGGCCTCATACATAAGTCTGAAGTGCACATAACGTGTCAAAAGCCCAGTTGGTGTTCATCGCCGTGGCTCCCTGTCTTGACCATTCGTCTCTTCGCAACCAAAAAAAAAAGACCATTCGGCGCCCATCTCTGTTTCAGCAGCAGCAGCAGCCAGCCCCAAAATCCATTCGGCGCCCATCCATTGCCGCCGCGATACTCATCGAGCAATCCCAATCGACCAATCCCAATCGACCATGGTGCGCAGGTCCGGCACCGAGAAGAAGAAGGCGTCGGCGTCGTCCGCGGCAGCGGCGGCGGCGGGGGGCGCTTCTTGCGGTGGTCGCTGGCTTGGGCCGCGCCCGCGTCGGCGGCGGCGGTAGGTGGCCGTGGGCGTCCGCTGACTCGTCGTCAACACCAACTAGCTAACCACGGCTTTCCCATGACAAGCGACGCTTCCGCGCAGGCACAGCGAGGTTTCCCCTCTCGCACTCTCCAATCCGAATCTGAATGCCTAGCAACGAATTTTCTTTCCCTTGCGCGTGTAGCAACTGTAGCCACGTGTCAGGTCTGCTGCCTCTCCTGGTGTAAACGAGAAAGTTTATATGCTTGCAGTGGCAATTTCAAGCAGGAAGTTAAATGGCTTATTCACACAGCTAAGAGGAACAAATACTCTTCATTTGAGGCTTTTCGTTGATATAATATAGTCTAGCTTTTAGCCCTTCCTGTAGCCTCCTTCAGTCAACCTTAGCTGCCTCATTCTCTATAGGCTTATCTCTTTCTTTGTTTTAGTCTTTTGTACATACTTTTGAAAATTATTACTCCCCAATGATGTGTCGCATCTGATATGCAGTGATGTGTCGCCTTCCTTCGCCGTCTCACTCCAAAGTCCACACCAAGAATCCCCAATGTGGATTCCTAGTACCGGATTTTCCTTCTGGCTTGCATCATCCTTGAAGACTTGGAGCACCATTTGAGAAGGCCTTGTCAGCACTGATTTAGTCTACGTCCTTGCTGTCCACACCGAAAATCAGTGTTGAACTAATGATAGCAGAGTTTAGCATTTTGATAAAAACAACATCAGTTTGACTGACGGCTCCCAACCATACACGTAGCTACTTCCTGTTATGGAGAACCGTGTGCCTCAGAGTCAGCTAATCAAATCATCCTTGTATATGTATGCTATTTTCTTCACTGGGGGCTGGGCGGCTGGCACACGAAGGAGGCGTAATGGATATGTCCTGCCTCCCCATTTTCATCCTCCTGTTCTTGTTTCCTTTCAGCAAATCTGATGACCAACTCACACAGGGGAAGCCACTCTCCCCCGGTGACATCCTCATCTCCAAGGACGGCGTCTTCGCTCTGGGCTTCTTCTCCCCCGCCAACTCCAACAAGAGCCTATATGTTGGAATTTGGTTCTACAACATCCAGGAGAGCAGTCGCGCCATCGTATGGGTCGCCAACCGCAACAACCCGGCCACCACCACTTCACCCGCGACACTCGCCATCAGCGTCAAATCCGACCTCGTGCTGTCGGATTCTGAAGGCCGCACGCTTTGGATGACAAAGAACAACATCACAGCCGATGAAGACGCGAGAGCCTCTGCGGTGCTGCTCGACACGGGGAACTTGGTCCTCCGGTCGCCGAACGGCACAGTCATATGGGAGAGCTTCGATCACCCGACAGACACCATCCTGCCCGGCATGAGATTTCTGCTGAGCTACAAGGGCCGTGTGATGGGGCGCCTTGTCGCTTGGAAGGGCCCGGATGACCCATCCGTAGGAGACTTCTCGTTCGGTCTTGACCCAGACTTGGACATGCAGATGGTCACTTGGCACGGTGACAAGCTGTACTGCCGCATAAGCGTGTGGAACGGCGCATCGGTGTCCGGCGGCACATACCCTGGCAACAACAGCTCTGTCGTGTACCAGACCATCGTCAACACAGGGGACAGGTTCTACCTAATGTACTCAGTCTCCGACGATTCACCATACGCACGCATCATGCTCGACTACACCGGCACCATGAGGCTCCTCACCTGGAACAGCTACTCCTCATCGTGGATAGCCACATCCGAGCGCCCCTCCGGCGGTTATGGCGTCTATGGCTCGTGTGGCCTGTTTGGCTACTCTGACTTCACGGGCGCCACCCCCACATGCCAGTGCTTGGATGGGTTTGAGCCTGATTCAATGAATTCCTCGAGAGGGTGCCGGAGAGTGGAAGCACTGAAATGTGGCAGCAAAAATCATTTTCTGCGCTTGTCTGGAATGAAGGTGCCTGACAGGTTCTTGCACATCCGAAACAGAAGCTTTGACCAGTGCGCGGCGGAGTGCAGCCGCAACTGCTCGTGCACAGCGTATGCTTACGCCAACCTCAGCAGTGCAGGCACTCTGGGGGATCAGACAAGGTGCTTGGTTTGGACAGGGGAGCTTGTCGATGCGTGGAAGACCAACAACTATGGCGAGAACCTGTACATCCGCCTTGGGGACTCTCCTGCTGGTATGGACGACATTACTGTTTGGGATCAATAGTTTTTCTTTTGTTTACTTGGATGCAGACCAACACTTTTTTGGAATTATCCAGCAGAGAGAAGTACTCCAAAACAGGGAAATTTTAGACATAGGACTGTAGGCGAACATACTACTCGTCCCTGATGCCACTACATGATTAGCCAGTTCCTTTTGTCTATGCAGAGTCAGGAAATGACCAAGTATTTATTTTATTCACTAAAGGGCAAACAGCTTGCCTTTTCATTTATCATAGAGCTCTGTTATACAGGGAAACTGCAAGTATTTTGTACTAATGCACCCTCAGTTTTACCACATGCCTAGCAGTACCGCTCGAGGGGTTACTGAAATTAAGAATACCTAGGTACACAGATCAGCCATGGTACTTCATGCAAGTAACTAAATCTATACTCTTGCAAGCTATGCTTGATGCAGTAAATTCTGTTGTGATACATTTCAGCAGTTCAGAAAAATAGCAATTTAGTGAAGATTGTGCCGCCGGTTGTAGCATGCCTGCTGCTACTCACGTGCATAGCCATTGTCTGGAAATGTGAGTACAAAGATAGAACAATACCTTCCTTTCCTTCATACCAAGCTGTTTTTTAAGTTCTAATCAGTTAAGAGCCAATCCAATCAGCAGGGGTACAGCGAAAGAAGGAAATCAAGAAGAAACTGATGCTACGATACTTGAGTGCTTCTAGTGATCTTGGAGGCAAAAATTCAGATTTTCCGTTTGTTAGTTTCGAAGATATTGTGGCCGCAACGGATAATTTCTCCGACTCCAATATGCTTGGAATGGGAGGTTTCGGCAAAGTTTACAAGGTAACACTAAGCTTAATTCACGGCAAGTAAGGTGCAATATGTCTGCCAGAATTGTGGTCTGATTTTGTAAATATGTTTTTTTATTTCCTTCTTAATTGACATTTGACACCATAATGGTCATGTCAATCTATTCAAATTATCTTCAGTCTAATATGTCAAAAAACGCAGTAGTTTCAGTGGAGAAAAAAAGCTCAGGCTTTCATTGTTTCTCAGTTCAGAATGATGGAATTAAGCACCTCACAAAAATGTAATTATGTAGGGAATACTGGAAGATGACAAGGAAGTTGCTATCAAAAGGCTTGACAGTGGTTCTGGGCAAGGTATAGAGGAGTTCAGAAATGAAGTGACTCTAATTGCCAAATTGCAGCACAGAAACCTCGTTAGACTTCTTAGTTGCTGTATTCATGATGATGAGAAGTTATTGATCTATGAATACATGCCTAACAAAAGCCTGGATTCATTCCTTTTCGGTATATTCCGACTTCTGATCTCATGTTGCACAAAATTCTCAATGTTGACCATAAAGTGTTTTTTTTGTTCAGATTCTGAAAGAGTATGCATGATGACTAACAATTTGTTTTATTGAACTGTTCATGCTGCAAGATAATACAAGAAAAGATGTCCTTGATTGGCTGACACGGTTCAAAATAATTAAAGGGGTGGCAAGAGGCCTTCTTTATCTGCACCAAGATTCAAGATTAACAATAATTCATAGAGATCTTAAAGCAAGCAACATTTTGTTGGACAAAGAAATGAGCCCTAAAATATCAGACTTTGGTATGGCAAGGATATTTGGTGGAAAGCAGCAGCAAGGAAACACTATTAGAGTTGTTGGAACATAGTAAGTAATTCATGTGCTGAAAAGTGTCTAGGATATGGCTTCAATCTTAGGGATGGAATCAAGTGGGCAGGAATGAACACTTTTACTCCCATTGCCTGTTATATTTTTGGTTTAGTTAAGTTCAACTTGTCTTCTCAATGCTAGTGAAATGCTTCGATGAGTTTAGTTGGGTACTATTTTCTATATATAATTCAAAAACTGAAGGCTGTTGTTAAAAAGTGAGGACAGTAATGAGAAAATTTAAATAATTAACCAGATTTGTTGGATATCTTTGCTTCGCTGCCCTGTCGGATGAAAGTTACGAAATTATAATCTTATGTTTGTTCAGACGTTCAGTAATTTAGGATGCGTGTAGTCAAGAGCACATTCACTTTTGTATATACTTTAATCTCTATTATTTTTGCAACTGCCAATTCCAATTTAAATCCCCCAAAGCCACAGATCTTCACTCGTGTTTGATTAGGATGTTTCATGCTTCCCTGCAAGTCATGAAAGAGATATAGATGGTTTTGGATAAGTGTAAAACTAGACTATTTAGCATTTTGACCAAACTGCCCCTTAGTAAGACCCACACTATTTTATTTAAAACATGCACTGACGCAAACTTAATGTTTAAACAGCGGTTACATGTCTCCAGAATATGTGATGGGTGGCGCCTTTTCTGTTAAGTCGGACATCTATAGCTTTGGTGTTCTTCTTTTGGAGATTGTAAGTGGCTTGAAGATCAGCTCGCCTCAGCTCATAATGAACTTCCCAAACCTTACAACTTATGTAAGTATCATCGAATGCTTGAACTTGGTGACCTAAACAAAACTAGAGTTAATTGGTTGAAACTTGAATCTATTCCATCAGGCGTGGAGATTATGGGAAGATGGAAATGCAATGGAACTGGTGGACTCAACAATTGCTGGTAGCTGTCCAATTCATGAAGTTCTACGGTGTATTTATGTGGGACTCTTGTGTGTTCAACACCATTCAGATGCTAGGCCACTCATGTCATCAGTTGTGTTTATGTTGGAGAATGAAATCGCTTTGCTTCCAGAGCCGGAGCAACCTGCATATTTTGCAGCAAGAAATCAGGAAAATGGACATACCAGGGAAAACATGGATAACTCACAAAATACCATGAGTATCACAACACTAATAGGGCGTTAGATGTTTAATGTCAACTTCTACAATATATTGGAACCCTGTAAAATGTGTAAACTCTCTAATTTACTGTACATAAATTGTGATTTTCAGCATAGTGGTGGTAGTAACCTCTGGTAGTTTAATGTATGTAAAGCACCGAAGTGGACTTTCCTGTGTAGTGAAGGAACTGTGGATAATGCATTATAACTGAAGGTTTAGGCCTCCTTTGGTTCATAGGATAGGAATAGTATAGGAATAGGAAAATCATAGGAAGTGAGATGACATGCATCTCAAATCCTATAGATAAAAAGATGCCATTTGATGCATAGGATAGGAATTTTTCCACTGACTCTAGGCCAATGTTTTTTTTCCTTTGAAATGTGAAGGATTGATTCCTATCCTACATAGGAATAGGAATCCATTCCTACAAACCAAAGGGCTCCAAAGGAATTTTTCCTACAAAGTTCCTATGCTTTGCTATTCCTACAATATTCTTATGAACCAAATGAGGCCTTATATTGTTTCTCATCTCATACAAGGTGTTTCTATTCTGATATGCTTGTGTTTATCTTCATTTGCTATAATAAGGTTTCCATCATAGCATCTTAGTATGCATTAAATCCTTACCCTGAGATTGTTGTGTGTCAGCTGCTCTTTTTTCCTTTTTTTTTCTCAAAATAAAGGCTAAAAATCCAACCCTAGTGTATGACCAAGTGCCAACAATATCAGGGCATCTCGATGCTCCGCCCATTTGGGGGAAATATCTAAACACCTTCCAAACTTACATGAACACATTTTCCCAAGTGCATGTTTTTTTTATATATATGAATATTTGTTCTGGGGGTATATGAATATATTTTTCATATGTAGGAACATTTTTAAACGTGAGACGAATACTATATAGGGTAACTCTATTCGGCACCCTGGGTGAGGAATAGTTATTATTCAGCCCCTCAATTTTTTAACACCAATGCACCATATTTTTATGTTCCGTAATATTTTCTTATTTTATATGTAAACAGAGAACGTAAGAGCCATAAAAAATATTTTCTGTTACGTAAAATTACGAATGTAAAAACATAGTGTAAAAAATACATAAAATACAATTTCTTGGTCTTATGACCTATATTTTTGTTTTCTTATGCCAAATTTTACGTAGTGACTAAACATGAATGTAATTATTTGTATGTCAAATGTAATTTATTTATGAAATGGTCATAAGATTACCTTGGGTGAAGAATAACTTATTCTGCACCCAGGGTGATGAACTATCTGCACTTTTTGAACTAAAATATGAAATTTATATTAAAAATTTATATATGATCATTTTATATTTGTTTATGTAAACTGTCTCCACTTTTTAAACTAAAATATTAAATTATTTTAAAAACTTATTAAGAAAATAAAAATATTGTCTTATTCTTTATGGGAAAAACACATTAATGGGCCGCGCTAGTGGCGAGCTTTGATCGGTGCCAAGTCCCTAAGTAGCGGCCCGCTTGGTATTATTACTAGAATAGAAGGGCCTCCAGCCCACAAGCAAGTAGCGGCCATTTGCGTTCGCCGGCTACTAGCCGCAGTGCCCCCACTGCCGCCGTCATGGCGCCACCGCCATATGCGTCTCCGGCGCCTCGTCTTCCTCGCCTTTCCCTCCCCTTCCAGGCGGCCATAGCAAAGCGGCCGGCACCTCATCGCGCCGTCGCGGCCACCCTCCCCTAATTTCCCCCGCCTGTCGCGCTCGCCCGTCGGTACGTGCTCGTCCCACCCACTCGAGTTGACAAATTCGGATGCTGCCTGATAATTTTTCCTTCTGAAGCAACGGGTGCCGCCTGATAAGGGGACAGTGTGCCCGCACGTCGCCGCGACGGAGCTCCATCTGACGGTAACCCGTTCCTGAGCAGTTAGCACACACCTTTCGTCCAACATGTACTTCCCAGGCTTCCTGCCGAAGAGCGGCGAGTCGTCAACGATGCTGAGATCTGGACATTAATTTCTGCACCATCCTGTTGCTTGCAGTGTTGCATCAGTTTGTCTGATGGCGTGGCTGCGTAAGGTCCAAGTCCCCGGACTATTGCTACCATGGCACATTTATGCCGACGAGGACTGCGACGGGACTCCGGTGACCCCATGGTTGCGAGTCGACCTCGGTTTCTTTGTGTGTTTGATAGTCAACACATCCATGGCTTTGACATCTCTTGGTCCTTTAATTCCCCGCAAAGACCAGCAGCTACGCTTCCTGTTGCAGTGTTGCGTCAGTTTGTCCGACGGCGTGGCTGTGTAAGGTCCAAGTCCCTGGACTATTGCTACCATGGCGCATTTATGCCGCGGACGACGGCCTGGATAGGGCTCCGGTCACCCGATGGTTGTGAGTCGACCTCAGTAGCTCCCCCGTGTGTTTGATGAAGTCAACACATCCAAGGCTTTGACATGGAGCATTTCTTGGCCCTTTAATTTCCCCACAAAAACCAGCAGGCAGCAGTTTCATATCTGCAAGCAAGCAAATCCAGAGCATTTCTTTCATACCATCTCCTTGCTTTGCTCTTCACAAGCATATTTGAAAGAAGGCTTAATGGGCATGACTCTGCTCCCCCTTTTCATCCTTCTATTATCGATTTGCTTCTGCGAATCCGATGACCGCCTAACACCCGCCAAGCCACTCTTGCCGGGCGACAAGCTCGTCTCAAACAATGGCATCTTTGCCCTTGGCTTCTTCTCCCAGGAGAACTCCATCGCCGCAAACTCATATTTAGGCATATGGTACCACGACATCCCGGAGCGGACATATGTGTGGGTGGCCAACCGCGACAACCCAATTGGCAGCGGTTTGTCCGGGAAGTTGGTTCTCACCAACAGCTCTGACCTTGTCTTGTCGGATTCCAAGGGCCGTATCCTTTGGAGGACGACGAACAACCTCACCGCTGGGGGTGATGGGGCTGTGGCGCTGCTGCTCGAGGGGGGGAACTTTGTTGTCCAGTTGCAGAATTTCACGCAGATATGGCAGAGCTATGATCACCCGACTGACACCATCCTCCCCGGCTTCAAGTTATGGGCGAACTACAAGACCCACACAGCAGTGCGCATCGTTGCTTGGAAGGGTCCTCAAGACCCATCCACCGGGAAATTCCTCCTCAGTCGTGACCCCAGTACGGGCCTCCAGATCCTCACCTGGCACGGGACAAGCAGGTACTGGCGCAGCGGGCTCTGGAACGGTGCAGAAGCCTCGGACAAGAACGGATACATGTGGTCCCAGAACGTCGATGATGGGGAGACCATCTACTCGACGTATAACACAGGCAACAGCTCCTCCCGGAGATCGCACTGGAAGCTGGACTACACGGGCGACTTGATGCTCAGGATCTGGAGTGGCCAGTCATGGGTGGTTTTGTTCAAGCGCCCAGATGATGGCTGTCGCCACTACGGCTCATGTGGTCCGTTTGGCTACTGCGACATGACCACCATGGAGTGCAGGTGCCTTGATGGGTTCGAGCCGGCGGACGGCTTCAGTGCCAACTTCTCCAGAGGATGCGTGAGAAAGGAGGCACTGACATGTCGTGGCTACCATTTCTCGGCCTTGCCTGGGATGAAGGTGCCTGATAAGTTTGTGTATGTGAGGAGCAGAAGCTTCGAGGAGTGCACTGCTCAGTGTGAGCGTAACTGCTCCTGCACTGCGTACGCTTACGCCAACTTGAGCAGTATTGTCGCAACTGGTGGTCCATCAAGATGCTTGGTCTGGACAGGGGAGCTTGTTGACTTAGAGAAGACAGGCGTACTTGGTGGCAACCTGTACCTTCGGCTTGCTGGTTCTCCTGGTATGTATATTGTTCCATACTTCCATGGTTGCTTTAATTCTTTTAACCTGCAGTAATAGTCTGCTTGTGAAACTACGAACAACAACCTTTCCCACCCGGGACGTATCGTCGTTATCATTGAATAAACTCATCAGTTTGCATTTCTATCAGAATTGTGTCGGTAGGTTAATTTTCCAGCTCATACACTTGTAACACTACACTAGTTAGCCAGTTACTTTTGGTGTCTGCAAATATTCATTTCTGAAACAAAATCTGTAACTATATTGAGATGCCAGATGCATTTTACTATCTTCTTTGATATTATATGCAAGTAAATCGGTATCTTGTACTCAGTGAGAAAAAAGTAAATGTGTACTCGCACAAGCTATGTTTGAATCTTGATGCAGTACTCGTTTCATCATTTTCTTGACAGGACACAACAGGAAGAGTGGTGCCGGTGTGGTATTAAAGATTGCACTCCCAGTTATATCGTTCCTGCTGATATTCTCATGCATATATCTTGTCTGCATATGCAAGCGAAGAGGTAGGATAAGGGACTCCAGTTTCCTATAATAAGATGTTCATGTAATAGTGCTGAGTGGTGAGATTACTCATATTTCTGCAGGGATACAAGTAAACAAAGAAAGCTGGAAAAGACCGGCCCCAGATCACTCGAGCACTTCGCAAGAAGTTTGGGATCAAAATCTGGAATTGCGTTCTATTAGGTTTGAAGACATCGCCGCTGCAACAAACAGTTTCCATGACACGAACATACTTGGAAAAGGAGGCTTCGGCAAAGTCTATAAGGTTGTAAAACTTTGATCTTGTCAATTAATTACAACCCTGAAAAATCTGTATAATTCCTCCTTAATTATCAATTTGTTCAATAATTATGGAATTACACAGGGAACACTAGAAGATGGAAAGGAAGTTGCTGTTAAAAGGCTTAGCAAGGGTTCTGAGCAGGGTATAGAGCATTTTATAAATGAAGTGGTTCTTATTGCCAAATTGCAGCACAAGAATCTAGTTAGACTTCTTGGCTGTTGTATTCATGAGGATGAGAAGTTGCTTATTTATGAATACCTACCCAACAAAAGCTTAGACAAGTTTCTTTTTGGTATGTTCTAATCGCATACTCAAGAAAGTAGTCTCTGAATGGTTTACTAGATGCCTTGCGCTCATGTACATGCACATCCTGTTCTTTGGCAGATACTGCAGGGAAGTCTATACTTGACT